GAGATTATATATATATATATATATATATATTTCCCCCCCCCAAAGGCAACATACAGATAGCTTTATTGACCTCTATTAACTCCATAAAGGAGAATGAGCCCTATCAACACTAGCCATAGTAATCCAAACTAATTCCTATAATGTCAGACATGGTCTCTCGTGTTTCTGCACTTATTTCTATTTCTAACACCATGCTTACTATTTTGTTCAGTCCAAAATACATTGCAGTGGTCACACAGATGTTATAGAATCATACTCATTGTTAAGGGGTCTATTAGGGAAGTTAAAAGGTTACAATTCAGATTAGCAACAGAATACAGTTCCTTAGTCCAGACAGTTTCTCAGCTATGTTCTCTGGTCCTTTGACCTCCAGCCTCATGGCTTATGTCAGTGTTATAAAGTTCCCTCAGTCCTCCAGTAAAGTTGGGCAAAAGGCCCCTGGCTCTGGTACTCTGAGGCAGCAGTCCCAAGTCAGCTCTGGCTCATTTTGGTACCCAGTTTTCTACTGAGGCTGCTGCACTCTTGTGTAAATTCTGGTCTGACTAGTGCAAGAATCTCTAGCCCTAAATGATGTGCACTGTATTCTCAGCTGACTAGAAGGACATGATGTCAGGCTTCCACACAGCCTTCCTCTGGTTCTTTTGAGAATGGAAAGTAAAGGATAGTATTAACCTACCTTCTACAGACTACCTATGATTTTATTTCCTTAGAAGTCAGGGAAAATTGTGACATTTTGTGTCACTATGTAAATTTTCTTATGATAATAAACTTCTCAGTGAAGCCAGGGAACTCACAAACCATTAAGGACCATGAATTAGGTTTCTTCCCAGCCCCAAAGTCCTTGCAGGCCCAAGAGCTGAGCTATTGGATTTCACACCAAAGAAATTTCTGAACCATTGGATTTACTGCAAGTGATGATGGTAGTAGAGTCATAACATGATTCTGTGTAGAAATCCAAGTGTATCTCTGATGAACCCCTCAAGTTCTCCAGGGCCCTGGCCCAGACCTAACACTGTCCTCTCAGCTTTATGGGAGCACTAGGGCAAAAAGACAGCAGTATTCCCTAATGTACTCCAATCTTTACTTAAAGAGACCCAAGGGGGCCCAGGAGCTCACCTTGCCACCCAGACAGTAACTTTACATTGTTCCATCTTCATTGACCTTGTGCCTCCCTTTCCAATGTCTCTGTTGCTCTCTCCCAGGAGTCAGAGAAGCTGGAAAGTGTGAATGCTGAACTGAAGGCTCAAATTGAGGAACTCAAGAATGAGAAGCAGCATTTGATATACATGCTCAACCTGCATCGGCCCACATGTATTGTTCGGGCTCAAAATGGGCGGACTCCAGAAGATGAGAGAAACCTCTTTATCCAACAGATAAAAGAAGGAACACTGTAGAGCTAAGCAACCGTGCTATGGGGTCAACTGAGGAGTCCTCACTGAATCTTCCTTTTACACTCCAAATTCTGAAGCTGTTGGAGATCTGACTTCCTCTGTGGCTCTAGGAACCCAGCAGTAGCAGAGACTCAGCAAGGCAGGAGGGACTGCAGTGACTCAGCGGGGTGTCCCTGCTCAGTCCCAGAGTGGACTTTGGAACAGGCAAGTGCATTTTTGCCTTAGCTCCAGTTTTAGGCTTTATTGTACTGGCCATTCTCAGGCTCCAGGTAGTCCCTGGTTAGGGTCCTGCCCACCCTTCATCCAGATTCTATGAAAACCATGAGTCCCACTGTTAGCACTCATGCAGAAGTGTCTATTCCCTTCTGTGGATGGGGCCATCTCTTCTGCCGCCACCATCACTTGTCAGGAAAACAGAGTGAGAATGGCAGTTAGCAAAACTGTGCGAAGATCAGGATTGTTCTTCTAGCAAATGTGCTATCCTACCCAGGAGTTACTGTGTGCGAGATATTCGTGTCAAAATTAGGCGCTGTGTCAAAACATAGCACAGGTGTGATTTTGATTGGCTTTTTCTCAGGTACAGTTTCTGAGAATTTGGGAGCTGTCACCAAGTGCCATGTCTTACCAAGGGAGCAGGGCGCTGGAGAGGCTCATCAGCCCCAGTGAAACAGAACTCTGCAGCGTAGAGCATGGATTTGGCAGAAAGCCAAGAGAGAAGTCCTCTTTTTCCTTGGTGCCAAAGTGTTAGCATGAAATCCATGAGCATAATTGCAGGCCCTCTGTGGCATACTCCATTATGATGTCGCAGGAAGAAAGCAGAAAGACAAAGCCAACTTCCGAATGGTCAGGACTCTCTTCTCAGTGACTTAGGTCAGGAGTTGCCTGAAGGCCAGAAGAGCCAAGAATTCCATTTTCCTTTCCTTGTAGTTGAAAATCATGGTCAACAGAGACATATTTGAAGTGAGCTGATGCCCCCACATGGCATTGTTGACTGTTAGTGGCCTTGTTTTTATCATGTAGATGTTTTGTAAAAATCTGGTCCAGAGCGTTTGCCACTGTGAGATGACGCTTTGGTCACAAAGACTCTGGCTGCTGTCTGTTTAATTCTGACGTGTCTGTGAAATCCTCCAAGCATTTAATCCTACTCAACATTATCATTATGATTTTCTGTAAGATATATTGCTTATTTATCCTAGTGTTCTTAACCTGTAAATATAATAAATACTGGAATCAATATAAAATATATCTAAGTGTTGTGCTGGTATCTGTGCTTTCAGAATGGTTGATTATTGCGCTCCAATAGATTGATTATTGAGCTCAAATAGCTCCAATCTAATAGGGAGCTCTGGTGGCCTAGTGGTAAGAAACTGTGTTACAATCCCAAAAGTATATGGTTCGAATCCACCAACAGTTAACTGGCTCTGAAAACCTGCTGAAGGGTCAGCTATAGGCTGGTCATGACTAGATAGTATACAACAACAACAATCATACTCCCCCTTTCCCTTCCTTCTTCGTTTTGGAGGTACGTAAGCCTTCTCAAATTATTCTTTTTCTTTGGGGGGCCATGAAATTGGCTTTAAATCCTACTACTCCACATTCAAAGACACCTAATTTTTCCATTTTTTATTGACTAACCTGACATACAGCCATAAGTATATTCCTTATACCAACTCTTTCATAGTAAGATAGAATTTTTATAATAAAATCTGAATTGTTCAATACATTAGCTTTCAGTGTTTTTGAATGTACAAAAATATAAAGGAACACCTGTTGTTCAATTTAAAATTTTGATTCCTTATATTCTATCTCAGAAATCTTCTTTCATATTACATTACTTGAATGACATCTGTTGTAGTGTCCAAAAATGTTCATAGATGTATCTCGTAGCAAATACTTATTTCGAGTATTAGAAAATAATTGAGTGAAAACAGGGAGAAAGAAAAATAAAAGTATTAGGATGACTGTGTAAATTCAAAGAAAGGGATTCTACCTAATATTCTGGTACATATTATTTTCTCAAACCTGCTAGCATCGAATTTATTCCACTTGTAGCAATTCTGTCTGCTGTCAGGGATCTATTCAGAGTGCTGAGAAGCAACAATGTCAGTCTAGAGACAAAGGTGTGCCTAATTCAGGCCATGATCTTCACAATTACATGCTATGCATTAGAGAGCTGGACAATGACTAATGATGACAGAAGAAGAATAGATGCATTCAAGTTGTGGTGCTGGAGAAGAGTCTTGAACATACCATGGACTACTGCTAAGAAAGCAAATAGGTCTGTCTTGGAGAGGGTGAAACCAAGTCTCTTTTTGGAGACTAGGATTTTGAAGCTCTGCCTCACATACTTTGGGCATGTGGTCAGGACAGACTTGTCCTTGGAGAAGGACATCATGCTCAGAAGGGTGGAGAGACAGCGCAGGAGAGGAAGACCCTGGATGAGACAGATTGATACAGTGATTGGGGCAATGGGGGTTGGTGTGTCAGAATTAGTGAGACTGACGCAGGACAGGGCAGGGTTCAGAGCTGCTGTACATAGGGTTGCTATGAATCGCAGGTATCTTGACGTCACATAACAACAACAGCAATCCTATAGGACAGACTGAAATGGCCTCATAGCATTTCCAAATCTTTAATCTTTAAAGGAGCAGACTCTGGTGGAGCAGCTGATGGTTTTGAACCACAGATCTTCTGGTTAGTAGCCAAACCTTTTGAGCACTATGTTACCAGGGACTCTTCAGGAATGTAACTGGTTCCTGTGCTCTTTATTTGTGCCTATATATAAGACTCACAAGTCAGAAATAAAAATTCACTGCTCTGCTCTCGCTGCCCTTCTTCAAAGAGGTTGTGTACTGCCGAGTCAGAAATGATCCATTTGCAGGTTTTCAGAGGCAGTTAATCACACAGGAGATTACCCATCTTTTTCCTATGGAGCAGCTGGTGGCCTCACATTATTATTAAAGTCTTTATTGTCAATATTAGTTGAGATTTTATAGAAAAATACCTAAGGGTCTAGACTGGCAATTCTAGGTGATTAGGTAAAATGAAGCCACTTGCTGAAATGACATGCTGGCATTTTACATTCTTACAGACTATATGTAGTTGCTGAAACTATTTAGTTTGAAAAATAGTAGTAAAAAGACAAAGCATCAACACAAGAATTTTTAAAAAATTTGTATTTTGGCACCACAACAAGATAAAGGTAAAAAAGCCAATTGAAAAATGGACACAGGATATGAACAGACACTTCACCAAAGAAGACATTCAGATGGCAAACAAACACATGAAAAAATGTTCAAAATCCCTAGCGCTAAGAGAGATGCAAATCAAAACAAATATGAGATATCATCTCACCCTAGTAAGAATAGCAAAATTTAACAGAAGAGCGAACAACAAATGCTGACGAGGTTGTGGAGAAACTGGAACTCTTATTCACTGTTGGTGGGAGTGTAAAATGGTGCAACCACTATGGAAGGCTATATGGTGCTTTCTCGAAAAGTTGCAAATAGAAATACCATTTGATCCAGCAATTCAACTACTGGGAATATACCCTAAAGAAACCAGAAACTGCCACACAAGCAGATATATATGCACACCCATGTTTATCACGGCTTTGTTCACAATAGCAAAGAGCTGGAAACAACCCAAGTGCTCATCAACAAACAAATGGATAGAGAAGCTGTGGTATATTCACACAATGGAATACTATGCTGCATTGAAAACAAGAAACTCATGAAATATTAAACAAAATGAGTGACAATGTAGGACATTATGCTGAGCGAAATATCTCAGTCACAAAAAAGACAAATACTGCATAATGCCACTGTTATAAAAGAGAACTGACATCAGGGTTGAGGGGAGACTGAGAAAGAGGGGGTAAATAATATATACTGCATTGAAACAGATGAGGGAGAGAACTGTTTAAAAGGGATATATGATTAGGTATTATTGTCATAACAGGAGTCCAGAACAAAGGTTGCACAGTGGAGTGGACTTGGGGGGAGAGATTGTATAACAATGAAAGAATTTTTCTTTTACTTTTCAAAGAGAAGAACAAATTGGGGGGGCAAAGGGGACAGGGAGAAAAGTCCAACAATGAATGAATGGAAATCCAAAGTCTTTGTAAACTTTTATTAAAATTAGTTTTTTAAAAATTGTACTTTGGTACCTCCCTCTGATGTCTCTGTGGAAGAAAAGGGATGTTTCTGAGGAAGAGAGTGGTCCTGCCCTGAGGGTAGTTGAGGGGATGAGGATAAATGTGACAGGTCACAATGGACAGCAGAGGGGGTTTAGGCTGAGAGGTATTTTCTTCTCTTGCTAGGACTGCTATTCTTAGCTCCTGAAAGAGAGACAGTCAATTTCTTTGGAAAAATCTTTTTTGTTGTTATTGTGTACCACTGAATCAGAACCTACCCTTAGTTGACCCTCTGACGAGTTTTCAGAGGCAGTAAATCGCACAGCAGTGAATTTGAACCATTTCCCTTTGGAATTGCACTGTAACTTTTTACCACTAGGCCACCAGAGGTCCCTTTTAGCTGTCCTAAAGATTCTCACCACTGGGCCAATTTGTAGCACCATATTCGAGGGAGAAGAGATTGAGGTTGTTAACAATTACAGCTTGCTCAGATCCACAATCAACACTCTTAACACCAGCAGTCAGGAAATCAAAAGACTAATTGCATTGGAAAAATCTGCTGTCATGTTCCTCTCCAGAGTGCTAAAGAATAATGATGTCAGTCTAGATACAAAGATGTGCCTAATCCAGGCCATGGTCTTCTCAATTACTTGTTATGCTTCAGAGAGTTGGACAATGACTAAGGATGACAGAAGAATAGATGCCTTTGAGTTGTGCTGGAGAAGAGTCTTAAACATACCATGGACTGCCAAGAAAGCAAATCGGTCTATCCCAAGAGAGTAAAACCAAGTCTCTCCTTGGAGGCTAGGATTTTGAAGCTTGGCCTCACTTTGGGCACATGGCCAGAAGAGATCAGTCCTTGGAGAAG